GTTCTGTTTGGGAAGCAGATGGAAACATGTAGCATGAAGCATATGTGTACACACACAATACACGTGGATTTTATTTTGAAATCAGAAGTTTCAAAAAGCCGACAGCGAGAGTTTCAGCATAGATACCAAAAGCCTTTATATCAATGTTTTCAGCTGTGTTTGGAGTTCGTCTTTCACAGAATCAATTATCTTTTGCTGTGACTTCCACATTTATCACTGAATTTATCACGCGATCTGCTTCCTGCACCTCTGTCTGACCGGAGCGGAGCGGCGGTGGTGTAAACTGGACTTGAAACGGTGCAGCTGCGACCTGCGCAGCGGAGCGGAGACGGAACGCAAGTAATGTAAATCCGGGATTAGTCTTCAGTGGAATTTTCTTTCTTTTTAGTTGGATAAAAACCTTCTGTGTTTTTTAACGTGCTGTACCCACATGTCCTCCTGTGCTCAGRAAACGTGTAGATTATTTGTGTCATACAAATGCATTTTTGTGTTTTAGCAAACCCCTTACTGAGTAAAGTCAGATTTATCTCAAGATTGTGGAATCAGTGGCATCATAATTTATTTGTGATTCARTGAACAATGTCCTGCTGTGTTTTTTAAAACCTAATTTCTTATTTAGCTTTTTGCATTTGTTTTATTTTTACTATGGACCCCACCCCTCGAGTCTGAAATAAAGTTTGATAGATAGATTGATTGATTTTTTTACAAGCATTCTTACTTTAAACAAAAATACAGGTTGTTGTTTTTTGTACCAAAGACAGCTCCATAATCACTGGACCCTCGACAAATCCAAAATAAAAGGAACCAATCAACCAACTGACAACATACACCAAAATTCAAAACATTTAAAATAAAATCTCAGCTGAAACTTCATTTGATGCATTTTTCTCCCAAGAAAATAGGTCTATTAACATCACACAGGTGTCACTCAGTGTTGCAAGAAGGATGAAAAAAAGTGTAAAATGTCTAAAAGTCTAAATCAAGACAAACGGAACGACTTTTTATGAGTTTGCACGAACAAATGGTTGGTTTATAAATATAGCTAAAGATTGTGGATTAAAACAGCCATAATCAGTCAAAGCTAGGCTCATTTTTATATCTATAGATACATAGAAATAGTTTTCCCTGATAATCGATGCAGATACCCCTCCATAGGAAGGCACTTTTGATGGTTTTGATGTCCTCGGACCATTTTTGTGTCTGACAGGTGCCGTTTGTAGCRCAACTCTGTTTTCAAATCTTCGTCTTTGACTCCCAGTTCCTTCTGACTCCACACAGCCATGCACAGGAAGGAAATCCTCTGGATGGTGTTTCTTAATTCAAGTACCAGTTTCAGTTACTGCAAGAGAGTTTATTTGGTGTTAAAATACCTTTTAAGCCATCTGAAATCTATTGTTTAACAGCACCACCTTGCCTTTAAAACCACAACTTGTCCGTTCCATGTACTAAAGGTAGAGGTAGCCTACCCAGTAGACGATGTTAAACAACAGGAAGGAGGTGGGGAAAAAGACACGGGAGTATGCATCCAGTTCCAGTAGATCTATGTGGACACGTCCTTTTCTCCACGCACCTCCTTTACACTCTTCAAAGCAGCAAAAAAAGCTTTTGCAGTCTTTTCCTTCCAAACACTCGTAGACACAAGCATCCTCAAAGTCCTGCCAGTATATCGAGTTGTTCAAAGCGATGACTGTGTGTGGAGGAGGTCTCACATCCAAGACATAGTTCTGGAGAATAAAAACAATACAGTCACACTATCAAACAGAACAGAAGCTACAAATTGTTGTAAATCATATGTATAAAGCTGTTTTATAGTACAAAACTTCAACAGTAACTGATCTTTAACTACTGAGCCCTGAAAGGGACATAGGATGAAAAAAAAAAAAAACTATCTTGTGCGCACCAGTTAGTATCTCGTTCCCACCAGTTAGTAAGTTGTGGGCACCAGTTAGTAAGTCATGGGCACCAGTTAGTAAGTCATGGGCACCAGTTAGTAAGTCATGGGCACCATTGATCTATATTACTGGACTGGACATCACGTGACTTATCWTGCGCMGCACAGGAGCCATTGYKMTGCAYTGAGTCATGYCAACAAAACAGTAGAGTTTCAATGTGGGATGCGCGTCAATCGGTCACAAAAATATTCATAGCACCCTCATTTCTTATCCAATTTCTATAAAATAGGGCTTAAATKAAAGCTGAGAAAATTGCCGATATCGTGATATGTAAAAAAATATGCATTTGCTCAAGAGATAAATCTATAATCAGTCTGGGAACTTTTCCTTATAGGTTTTTGCTAACGTATTTACAGTAGAAGCCCCTTTCCGTCACATAAAGACAAATTTGCTGTTCCAACAAATTATTATATTTTTTATTAATATTGTTGTGCCCACGAGATATCTCACAGGATCTTTTAGATCGTTTTGGACAAGCTGTGTGTGTACTGAAATGGAAATACGTGATATAATTGAGCTTTATTTCCAGTTTGGCCTGAAATACAAACACAGTGCTGCGTTGCTTGTCCTCTGATTGGTGCTGCAGCTTGGTGACAGTCTCGGAGCCTTTYCATCCATGGTTCCCAGATGTTTACAGTTACCCTGACAACGGGGTTGTTTTGCTAAAGTTATCCAGCTGCCTTCTCAGGCCTCCTGTCCTTAACTCTTCCTGGAGATGCATTCACTATGGTGTCTAGATATGAGACGATGATCAGATGGGAATCTTTTATTTATTTTGGATTAGACAACTCCGTGATGTAGACATGCTCCGTGTGTAAAGCTGAAAATGTCTCTGTTTGAGTGTGATTCCAWAGAGCCATCTTGTGAAGCCTCGTKGCTACRGCCTGGATCTCAACGCAGCAGATCGAGTGCTTTCCCCGATCAAAGGACAACGAGCCGACCGCTTCAGCTGTGACCCGGAGGAGCATCTTCACTCTCTAGGCATTTACACACTGCAGGGCTGGCCCCGACCCGGCCCGACCCAGCCTCTAACCTGGGTTCGGCGGTTGTGCATAAGCATAGTAGGGCCGGATCCAGCCTGAATTCTGGAACCTGGCCAGGCGAGGTTCCAATCGGGCCGGCCCGGTTTGACGACTTATTTGTTTTGCTCTGACGAGTCAAAACGAGTCTGGCAAGTCATTAAAAAACATATAGATCTATGAAAAAGCAACTGCTTTCATAACGGTAGCATGTAACAAGCTAATATTGCCAGCTTACTCGTCTATGCCGTCTGCGTCTCGATATAGCCGCTTTCTGTTGCTGTTGTATGGCCAAGTACAGCCTTCGGAAACTCTCCGCTCTTCTGCGCATCACCATTCGTTGTCTCACTCGACGTTAAAGGACCGTTATGCGCGCTTTTCAGGTAAACAGTTCCCACCCACTTCGAGGTGGCTCTGATGACAGTGCAAAACATCCAGGGCTGGGCGGGGCTGGACCTAGGCCATCTGGGGTCCGGGGCCGGCCCTGCAGTGTGTAAACGCCTTCTGTGCCTAAATTCATATTATCAGGTATCAGGTAAGTGCCTTCCAATCTAGGAGGTAGACCTCCTAAATGTTTCATCTGGATTTCATTTATTTTCAGCTGGATAGCTTTAGCAAAACTACCCCGTTGTCAGGAAAACCGTAAACATGCGGGAACCATGGGTGGAAAGGCTCCAAGACWGTCACCAAGCTGCGGCATCAATCAGAGAACAAGCAATGTGTTTGTATTTCAGGCCAAACTGGAAATAAAGCTAAATTATGTCACATATTTCCATTTCAGTAAACACACAGCTTGTTCAAAACAATCTTAAAGATCCTGTGAGGTATCTCGTGAGCACGACTTACTAACTCGTAGGCACAACTTACTAATTGGTGAGCACGACTTACTAACTGGTGTGAACAAGATACTAATTGGTGGGAACGACTTACTAACTGGTGGGAACGAGATAGGATTTTTTTTAATCCAATGTCCCTTTAGGGGCTCAGTATTTATCCAATAAGTGATCCTGTATTCTTTGGACAAGCTACTTAAGAGAACTAGAAAGAGTAGAGTAGATTAGATTAGATTAGAATAGAGTAGAGTAGAGTAGAGTAGAGTAGAGTAGAGTAGAGTAGAGTAGAGTAGAGT